CCAAACTCTATTTCTAAAATGATTAAAGTATGATGTGAAAGGAGGGTGGTTGGAGGCATGTGCACTGGAATGTGACTCTGTGGGTTTGGGCAGTGTCCTCACCAATTACAAGTGGTGTTATTCTGGCTAAGTTACCCAACTGCTCTGAATCTTAGTTCCAACTTGTAATAAGAATGCCTACTGTCTAATATTTTGAAGATTGAACAAGCTAATGCACATAGCGCATGGAGATGTGACTGTTACATAGAACTTTCAATAAATATCAACATTTATGCCCAAGAATGGGGACATTAGGTGATTTTTCCCTTCAACCTCCTAATTTCATACCACATAATATAATCATGTTATATATTATGACAAAATAATAAAGTCACAAATATAAACAAAGAAAAAAATCCATACTTGAAAATGGAAAATTAAAACATTTTGAAAAGCTCCTCCCTTTCTCAAATCCAACACAGCAGAGGTTATTTATTTATTTGTTTTTTAGATACGAGGGGTGCAACAGAGGTCTTTGAGAATGCTGTGCAAGCCCATTACCACTGACCTGAATCCCCAGCCCCCTGAGGTTCAGTTTTTGGGTGGAAAAGTATGTTTATGGAAGGGAGAAAAAGGGATGGAAAAGTTGTGCAGAATTGTTTTGCCTACTCTTTTTCTAAATACCCATTTTTCTGTCTTTCTCCTCATTGACCCTGTGTCACTATGAACCGGCCGCAAATGGGAGAGTGAGGGGAGAAAGGTAAGAAGAAGAAGCCTAAAAATGGTTCAATACAACTTTCTGGTTAAACTTCCTAAACCTAAAAGGGGTGGTGCTTTAATCTTAGGCCAGCCCAGCCTGCTCAGGTTTACACTTCTGGGCCAGTAATTTTTAGTACATCGATGTAAGGACAGCTCTCTCTTGATCTCCCTTCTTTGTAAGTTGAGACATAGAGATTCTGAAAAAGATCACCAACTCAGGATGAAAAATTCAAAATGTCATGTCTGTTTTTCGGGAAGGGTGTTATGGAGTTCTGAAACCAAGCTTCCCTGCTGTCCTGCCACTTCAGTGAATTGACCAGCAAGGATTTGCTGAATAGTTGCTCTGAGCCCAGATTATAAAACTCTGGCCTGGCCTGGTCACTGCTCCTCAATATGGCTTCCTAAGGGGCTGGGGATTTGGCTCAGTGGTTCTGCCTCCTGCCTTGTAAGTGCAAGGGCCCAAGTTTGATCCCCTGTACCTCCCAACAAACAAACAAACAAACAAACAAACTATGGCCTCCTAAGTCTTTTTCAGGTGTGAGTGGAAGCTGGCTGGCAGGACTTGAGCTGAATGAGTCCCTGTGATCCACTGGCAAGTTTTGAGCCACCATCCCTGCTTACAGGGATTAGGAGAGAGAGTGGAGGGATCAGCACAGGCTCTCATGTTTGCTTGCGAGCTCAGACAGAACCAAACATGCCAATACAGTTTAGTGATTTCACAGGGCACTGAGTACTTTTTTCAGAAATCTGGGGTCTGGACAGACATATGCTATTTACCTGATTGGAGGGTTTGGAAGATAGGAAGTGGGCAACTGGATTGTTGTATGAAACATGCATTACATTTGCTTCATAATGTGTTTGTTTCAAGTAATTTTATCATTTATAAACTTACCTTTTCACTAAAGGGCCTTTTTTAAGGACATAAAAATTGGTTAAAAATCAAAACTTAGGGCTGAGGATTTAGCTCAGTGGTTCTGCTACCTGCCTTGTAAGTGCAAGATCCCAAGTTTGATCCCCGGCACCAAAACAAACAAACAAGCAAACAAACAAACCTAGTAAGTATTTAGTACTTGATTTGAGCCCAAGGGTAAATCACTTAATTCACATAGGCTCTGTTACATCACTGAGTAGTTCCGTGACCTGAATATTTATTAGCTGTTGAGCTCTTTCTACATTCCAGGACCTTGCTTCATGTTTTAAATCTATAATCTCATGAATTACTCACAATAGTTCTTTGGATGGATCATCATATTGTCTCCAAGAGGAACCTGAGGCTTAGGGCCCAATAGCAGTTACTAAATGCCCTGCAGTGATACATAGTTAAGACTCAGTTTCTCAAGTGTGAAACAAAACCTTCCCTCGTGTCTATCTGGAATAAATGGGGATAGATACATACATTTAGACATACAATATAAACCATACAAACATAAGCATATGACAGGTATAAATGCATATAAACATTAAGTTAAAAATTTAAAAAATTGTATAAATATATTTATATACATGCCTGATATGTTAAGAAATACCTGATAAATAGTATTATCTCAGCAGGGATCACCTCACTCTAGAGACCAATTTGCTTCGTGAAAGAATACACAGACATAAGGAAGTTGAGAAGGAAACGAAGCTGCTTCATTTGAGGTTTGTTACCATCTTCCTGGGGTCGAGTTCTAGTTACTTCTTAGTAGCTTCCTGCTCAAAGTTTCCTGAAAATTGTCTGTCTCCTGCTAGTTAAATGAATTATTCACTGCTGGGACTCTTCTACCTTACCTCAGGAAACAGTGGGTGACAGAGCTTTTAACTCTCATTCAACTCACAGAGAGAATGAGACTTTTTTCCCCCACCGGTGCCTTTCCCTGCCAGGCCTTGAGCTTCTTAATGGCAGGGACTGATGTGGACCGTATCAATCTCCCCAGACTGGCACAGAACCTGATGTAATGTATGTGCTCTGCTGCCTGCCATCGTGTTGTGGGTCAGGCAGAGGCCCTGGATACCTCCCACAGGAGGTCCCCCGAAAAGGCCACTGAATGCTGCTTATGGAAGGTAAAAGATCGTTGGACTGCGGGGGTGCTTCTTCTCCCTGTCTTAGCTCAGCCCAGGATAATTGCTCTCTGATGGCAAACATATAGGAGCTATCTATTAGAAATGGATAAATGAGGGCCCGGGATTTAGCTCAGTGGTTCCGCCGCCTGCTTCGTAAGCTCAAGGACTTGAGTTTGATCCCTGGTACCAAAAAAGAAATAAACAAACAAAAAATAAAACAAAAAAATGGATAAATGAAGACACAGAAAGATTTTCCCTAGTAGATAGAAGAACACAGCATCAAAATTGTATGAAGTTAGCCTCATACAATATCAGTAGGCTAATGGATAAGTAGACCAGTGGAGAACAGGACCACATCACACTCTGACCTCACTACTATGATTATAAGAGAAAGGTGGCCTTTCAAATAAGGTAAGGAGGAGAGACTATTCCATTGTAATACATTCAGAGAAAACCGTATTTCTTCTGTCCTGTCCCGAATAAAATCCAGGTGGATGAAAATTCAAAGCCTAAAAACTATATCTTACTACAGAGAAGCATAGGAGAACACTTTATATATATATATATATTTTTTTTTACCGGGGATTGAACTTGGGTCCTTGTGCTTGCGAGGCAGGCGGCGGAACCACTGAGCTAAATCCCCAGCCGGAACACTTTATCATCTTGATATCAAATTAAAAAACCCATAAGAGTAAAGATGGGCATATTTGGCAAAACAGAACAGTTAGGTGTAGTGAGGGTGATGCAAAGGGTATATGGTCATGCTGCTTAGGATAGGGAAAAAACACCAAATAGAAAATGCCTAGAGAAAACATGTATGTATTATCGATATCTGTATATTTTCTCCCTCTTTTAAAAAAACTAGATGGTGTACTTACCTCAGCATTCTGCGAGCATTAGCTGGACTCTCTTTGAAGTTGAAAACCTCTGCACAATCTCAGCAGGTTTTTCTTTGCTTGTTTAACTACTTCCTTCTCTTTCCTACCTTCCCTTCTCTTTCTTTCCTCTTATTTTTCCCTCCCACTCCATCTCCCTTTCTTTCCCATTTCTCTTTTGAAAACTAAGGTAGAATTTTTAAGCACAATATAACTTTAACTTGTATCAGTACTATTTTTTAAATTAACAACAGTTTCTTTTTTTTGTCTTTGTAACGTGCGTCTAAAAAGCCTCCGTCCTCCAACACTTTTCCCTCTTTTCAAAAAGAAGTATAAAGGACTGACTTTAAAAATGGCTTCTAAACACCCAGGATTTATTTTAAGTTGAAATATAATGTTAACTAAAACAGCCCATCTTCAGACTCTGACATATGTGATTTGTTGCTACACTTACTATTTGTGTGTGTATGTGTTTTCTGTTCAGAAGCATGACAAAAAATTCCTTAAAATTTGGATTTTTGCTGATGTTTGTATCTAGAAATTATTTTCACTCCTATTTAGGGCACGAAAAGTCAGGATGGAAGGAGCCCTAGAATCCACCTAGTCAAATCTCCCATTCCAAATGAATTTACTCGACAAAAATCCCTTTTGTTCTATCAATGTGTTTAATATCACAGCTGCTTCTGCTTGTGAATGAGGAAAAGATCAGGGAACAGGGCAGAAAAAACAGTGTGACCAGGAGATGTGACATTCTGCATATCCTAAAATCTTTCTAATTTTTTTTAAATACCACTCTTCCATGCAAAAAAGTTAAATTGCAGATTGCTTTACAAAAGACTTTATTGTCTGGGTGGAACTTCTGTTCTACCCCTACACACTATGAAATAAACTTACACGGCAGCATAAGAACACTTATGAGAATGAATTATTCCTAAATTATCAGCTCACATTATCATATAAATGATCACTTTTGCTTCCTCTCCGAGGTGCTATCATCCCTAATAAAGCAGTTTGTACATGTTTTAAGTGAGACTACATTGCCCCAGAAAACTAACATTATATTGCTTTAATAATAAAAGAGCAAAATTAGGCACAGTTTTTCAATGCCCAAGTCTCTAGATCAAATACAAATCAGCCTCCCCTATATCTGTAGGAAAAAGAAGTCAAATTTAACCTACACATAGTGTAGTATAAAGGAACCCTGTGATGGTATATTATGAGATTCAGATCAGATGTTGAAATCTATTCCCAGCCTTGAGTCTCTCCCCCTCCCAACCCTAGAAATTCCTCCTACAAGAATTCGGATCTCTAGAAGAGAAAGTAAGTGGAAAATAATGATCCTACCTTTGATGCATGGTGGTCATGAGATGGATAACAAAAAAGAAGTTCTAGTGAAAGAGATGGTTAATATAATGGTTTGGACTTAAATGAGGCAGATTGACTCTGTGGAAAAAAAAAAAAAGAAATGACCCTGAGGGCAGGAAAACAGACCTTCATAAATTTCATCATGCGTCATGTGGGGCAGAAGAGCCATTGAAATTAGTGCTTGTACAAGTGCATTATCATGATGCTGTTTTCAACAAGTTCTGCTGAAGACTGAAAGCTACGAGCACTTTCAGAGTTGATAATTGCTTGGAAAGATAATCTACTTTCTGCTCATTGAAATCTAAGTGAAGGAAAGAGGATCCTGTCCAGAGAGTTTTAATTTGTCTGAAAGCCTTAATCAGATGATGAGTTTTCCTCTGTGGACCCCTCTTTCAGTCTGTCAAGAAGAGCTCAGCTGCTAGAGCTGAAAATGTTAGTGGATAAATATTCCTTACTAGAAAACAGAGCATTGTAGGTAGGTGCATGTAAATACAATATGTAAACAATGGCTATGACTCAGATGACTCTGTTTGCCTTCTGAATGGAAGGGAAGGAGGTTATTGTAATTGTTATCAGTGTAAAACAGCAGGTGTAATAATTAACTCACCCTTTTACCAAGAGAGTGATTTGAATGGGTGCTGCTTTCTTGATATTCCTACAGTGGAAATCTCAGTGGTCAGAAATCAAGAAAGAGGGATGATCTTTTCACACAAACGTTGGTTCTTGAGAAGGAGGGAGGGTGACAGAGACAGTGTGTGGGAGACTAAGCATTTCCCTCCTGCAACAACAGCAGGACAACCATTTCCTGCAGGATAGTATCCTGCTTTGTTTATCATTGGGTGCCACCGATTTTTCTTAGCCTATACATGTAAGTCCCCTAATTTTCCAATGCTGGGCCAGTTTATCATTCTAGTGAAGAGATTTCTATGGTGGACAGTGGAGTGCTCTGCGACCACTACAGCTGTTGGTTGGGATGCAAGAGCATGGTCTGACATCTGTCCCTTTCTTCACCTTCTTAAAAGGGAGGTTAGCATCCTTTCAATCAGAATGGTCCCTAGGCCATCTGCCTTTTGTCTTCTGTGCACTCTTTCATCCTCTTGGAGAAGTTGGACCTCACAAAACATGGCAAAAACAAGACCATTTTTGGTTAAATAAGTGATAATTCCAGTTCTATTCTCCCTGTCACTGAATCACTTTTAGGCCAGGAGAGCAGACAGTTTTAATGCCATGGAGTGCAGTGAACCTGCTTTGGAAATCCAAGAAGGGAGTTCTACCAGTTCCTTCTTTCCTATTTTAAGAGTTTCAGAGTCTTTTTGAGTGTTTTTATAGGTATTATCTCATTTTATCCCTCAAACACAGCTGTGAAGAGTATGGCAGATATTATTCTTACTCTCTGGAATAAATCTGAATATCATAAGTCAGAGATGTTGAGTTACTTTCTAGTATTATACAGACAGTGAGTTTTGGCTATGGAAAGAAAATTTATTTTCTGCTTCTAATATCTGAGCTCTTGGGATTATCACATTAAAAGAACCCATCAAAGTTGAATGGTTATTGTTACAATGTTTTGTGACTTGGTCATATTTAAATAGCTTAAATTTCTGAGCCGACTATTCCAATTACAGAATATAATTTCCAACTACAGAATTAAGTAACGTTTCTTATAAATTCCAAGCTAAGAAGAGATTGAAACTTGCTATTATGCTTTTTTTATGTCGGTGCAACTTAATTCTGGTTTAGATGAGAAGATAACATTCAGCCAGTGATTAGTACAACCTAATGTAATTGCGGATGTCACTTTGTGAAATGCAAAGAGCAGCTGGATCATATCCTCAATAGCCAATTATCCTATTATGCGTAATAGCAATTTTGCAACTTTTTATTTTGTATTTATTTATTTTATTTCTTTTGCAACGTTTATTTCTGAAACATGCATTTTAATATGTGGCAATAACTGTAAGGTAACTATTCTATATCAAGTAAATAATGTGTACTTTAAACCTATTTACTTAAAGTTCTAAACAATACATTGTACTAAACTCAAAACAGTATTTTTCCTTTCTTCTTTATTTTATTTTTTCTTTCGTTTTATAACCAAATGAACCATTCTGAAATTACATCATTTTGAAAGAATTCTTACTTTGCATAGAAAGTTCACATACATCATTTCTTTTCATCTTTAATTTTATCACCAAAGATCTGAATCTCAGAAAAATAACTTGCTTATGACAACACAACTGTTTTAGTGGTACAAATACTGTATAACCCTGGGTTCTTTCCTGGATCATACTGTTTCACAAGTAAACCCATGCTTGTTTCTCATGACTTTGCATGTAAACAAAATCACAAGTTTCCTAATTCTGGAAGACCTAAGAGAAACTCAGACAATGATAGAGAAAAGATCATAGTCTGAAGGGAAGTTCAGTGTTCCACACTAACTTGTAGTGAAGAATTAGTGACCAATGAGGGGAAAGATCACAGAAAGTGACCTATTGAATGCTTGCCAGCCATATTTATAAAGTCAGATAATCCTTATCTTGTAGTTATATGACCATAACTAAAAGGAATAAACTATTTGCCATGCTTATTTTCTGACTTCATATGAGCTTGGGATGCTGTAGAAAGGTGAAATAGCTTGAGAGTGGAACCTCTAAATTTGGGAAAAGCTTTCAATTAAAACAAAAACACATTTTGGAAAAAATTATTTTTCCCCCATGAATTTTCCAGATAGTCTCAGACTTGGCAAAATCCTTTTTGTTGGACACCCTAAGTGCACACCACAAGCACGTTGGGATTTATATACAATTTCTAAAACCTGGGATTGGTGAAGAGCTACTGGGCATGGGACTTGCTGTGATTCCCTTTACTCTATACTAGTTATGATCATTAGCATATGTATTTGTATAAAGTCTCTTGGTTCACAAGTGCTTTTACATCTTTTTATTTACCATTGACACTTATCTTCCCAGTAATTCTGCAGGATACTGTCACTTCTGATTACCAGTAGATGGTCTTTTTATTTTCTTGAATTGGTGCTTCTTTATGCTTGGACATCGATTAGTCACAGCTCATAATAGCCAGCGTATACTGATGATCTCTGACTTAGGATGGTTTGCCTTGAAAATTTCTAATTGTGTGATGGTAGAAAAGTGATACTCATTCAGTAAAAAACAGTGTTTCAACTTTTGAATTTTTATTGCTTTCCAAGGATGGCAATATATGGTGCCCGACTCTCTTGTCCTGCTGCGTAGTAGGAGTGCAGTCAACTAGGCCAACATGAATAAACAACCCATACCCTAAAGAGGGTAGAGTCACCTGGCTATAACGTTTGGTGTGATGCTTCTATTAGCTGAACGTTTCACTTACTATACTTTTAGGTGATGTGATGGGTTTATGGAGATGTAACCATCATAACTGAAGAGTGTCTACATACAGTATTTTTAATTTGGTATGTTAATTTGCCTTGCTTGGGAGGTCTGCCATGATAGTTTAGTAACTTTGGTCCATTTTACTCACAGTGTTATGACTTAATCCACTACCTAGTTATCTTACTTCCTCTATTTACAGGTACCCTTCCTCCTGTGACCACCCAGCCAAAACTAGCATCTTTTCCCACCCATTCTTATGTATTTCAGCATTTCCATTGCATTTATCACCACCAAACTTATATTGCTTTGTTTTTAGTCTTGTTATTGTCCCTCCTAACTACAATGAAGACATCATGGAGATACAGGTCAACAAAATCTTGTTCATTGTATCATCCAGTATACACAGTATACACAGCTACAGAACAAATGTGCGAGTGAAGGAAAAATGCAAATGGCCATGCTTTGAATCATGTGGCTTTTGTGTTTGGATCAAAACTGATTGGGCATTGGTTGAGTACACGATTTAAGGGCAGCCCATGCTTTTTTTTTTTTTAGAAAGAGCATAGCTATGCAAAGCTATAGCTATGTATCACCATGGTCTGTAAAATTGTTCTTTTTATCTGGAAAGAAAAAAAATGAGACCATTGGGGAAGGAGTTTGCAAAGGAAGGAAGGGAAGGTCATACTAAGATTTTTTTTTTTATTCTGGGGGCAATGGGGACTTGTGAGAGAATTTTAAAACTGAAATAAAAAGGCCAGAGTTTCACAGTGTGAATGTTCCTATGGTTCTCTAGCAGGAATAGGAGAAGGAGTCTGTGAAGAGCCAAGTTTCTGCTTTTATTTGTTAAATGGCTAGTTATATATTCACTGTCAATCAGTAAAGATTTACTGAGCACATGCTCCATCTTGCTTACAGCAGAAGCTAAGGTGAAGTCTAATATAGCTCACTGTACTCATGATATACACATAGGAGACAATCATAAACTCTACTTGTGGAAGAGTTGGGAGATGCTGAAAGAGTTTTATAGAGAGATATCTAAGCTGAGTTTTACAGAAAAGCTAAGTGTTCATGCAAAAAAAGTCATAAGACAGCCTTTGGCAAGAAGGGAGATGATCAATCAAGGCTTGGTGCTGTAAAATAATCTTGGATGCATTGTAAAGTTGTATGGTTTAGCTGAAAAGAGAAACAAGAGTGTTAGGGGAGGAGTTTGGAATGAAAGGAAAAGGAAGGTCATCCTAGAGTTTGTTCTTCATCTTGAAGGCAATGGGAAGTCACTGGAGAAATTTAAAAATGAAATACCAAAGCCAGAGTTTCACAGTGTGAAAGGCAGGGACAAGACTGGTGTAGGGAGGTGAGATTGCAAGTTGGTATGTATTGTTAGAGCAGTTTAAAGCAAATATTGCAACATATATAGCAATTTTGATAGAGAGAACTCTTGTAAGTAGTCTTGAGATAAAAAAGTTAAGATTAAAAAAATGTCACCAGTCCTGCTTTCCTAACTCTGATACCAACTCTTGTGGGCTGGAATAACTAAAGACAAACATCCTGAAAGACAATACTACATTTGGGTTAACATTGTACTGACTTGTGACCATGATTTGTGATAGCAACTGTCGGAACTAGAATGTCTTATTGCCTAAAATGAGGTTATGATTGTAAAGCTCCTATAAAAGATGGATTGTCACTCAGCCCCAGGGTCTGTCATTTGGC